AAGTCCACTCATCTTAAAGTGGCCAAGTTTGGACAACACTGTCTTACGACCTTTGGTATCTTGCTTCTTCTGAAGAAGCTTAGCCCTTCAGGCATCATTCTCAGTGCGTACACCCTGCTAATAAGCTTTTTGAGAGTATTATAATTCGGTCTGATACTCCAAACACACACACACACACTTCTGGCCTTGAACGCAGTTGCTACCCTTTTGCTACAGCAGGCTGAGGACAAAGGGCCCCCAGTAGAGATCTGGGTGTGAAAATATTTGTGCCAGGGTCCGCAAATCCTCTCTGCAGATACAAATGTTGCCACGAGCCGATCAAACTTCTCCAGTTTTGCCCATCTAGTTTTTCAGCCTGCCAGAGTTTCCTGCATTCATCCCAGGAGTCTGGCAACAGTCAAGGATAAGATAACCCTTGTCTAACACTCCACAAACATTAAAAAAAAAGAGCTTTAGGAGTTGGTAATGGCTATATTCTGTTCAGAGTACAGTTTTCTGCATCCTGGGATGCAGTCCTGTAGTCTATACTTTTCTGGGAAGATAGAAGGAAAGACGTACTATCACACACACCACAGACACACACACACGGAAGAATTGATTATGTGCCATCGAGTCATTTGCAACTTCTAGCGACCACACAGATAGATCTTCTCCATGAACATAGAAGGAAGGGCATATAAATATACACACCCATATACCTTTCCTTCTACAGGTAGTCCTCGACTTACGACCATTCATTTAACAACTGTTCAAAGTTACAACAGGCCTGAAAAAGGGACTTACGACCGGTCCTCACACTTATGACCGTTGCAGCATCCCTGCGGTCACACGATCAAAATTCGGGCACTTGGCAACTGGCATGTCTTTACGACAGCTGCAGCATCCCAGGGTTGTGTGATCACCATTTACGACCTTCTCAGGGGGCTTCTGACAAGCAGAGTCAATGGGGCAAGCTGGATTCATTTAACAACCAGTGCAAAAAAGGTCATAAAATTGGGTGCAACTCACTTATCCAATCGCTTAGCAACGGAAGTTCTAGTCCCAATTGTGGTCATAAGTCGAGGACTACCTACATATATACACACACACATACATGCTTTGGAAAGTGAGTGCCCTTCTGAGAGGTGATAACAATCAATTAAACCAACGGAACAAAAACCTTGTGTTTTGTGAGGGCAACCCTAAATTCTGGTGCCCAACTCACCCTCTCGTCTGCAAGTCTTCCAGATTGGAGGCGTTCCACTCTGAACCCTGCACAAACAGGAGATGAGGCAGAAAAGAACAGTCATATGTCAGCCAAGAGCAGAGCTGGTCATGCAAATAATAGTAACAAAAAAATAAGGCACACCAAACATGGTAATACCAGGTGCAAGAATTCAAAGCTCCTGGCTAAGGATCTTTGACAGCCGTTGTCTTCTGATTTGTCTATGGCAGTGTTTTTCAACCTTGGTGACTTTAAGATTTGTGGACTTCAACTCCCAGAATTCCCCAGCCAGCTTTTGTGGACTTCAACTCCCAGAATTCCCCAGCCAGCTTTTGTGACTTCAACTCCCAGAATTCCCCAGCCAGCATGCCGGCTGGGGAATCATGGGAGTTGAAGTCCACCCATCTTCAAGTTGCTGCCGTTGAGAAACACTGCTCTAAATAAAAGCATGTTCTCACATTTGGTCACATCAGACCAGAGGCGGGCAGCCCCCTCTCTGGCCCTGAGCCTCCGGTGTTCCAAGAGTGGGCCAGATGGGGAAGGGAAGAAAAATGGGGGGTTTCAGCACCCCAAGAGGCTTTGCAGGGAGGAGGGTTATGCCTCTGCAAAGCGTGCCACTCTCATTGAGTCCCTCCGCTGACTGCCCCAAAAGCCGCCCCCCCGAAAAAACCTGCCCATGCTTACACTTGCCTCTCAGGATGATACACTTTGTAATCTTTGTGCTGTTCATCACAACACCCCTATGAGGGAGGACTGTACTGACTGACCCAGAATTCCCCCATGAGCTTCCTTGGATTAGAGGGCCTTACACCTGGATCTCAGCACTGGAGTGGACCCTCAGCAATGCCCCCCCCATAGCCATTTGCCCCGCCAAGGCAAAGAACAGCCCTGGAGTCCCCTGCTGCCAGCTGGGGTAGCCTGTACACCGAATACTGGCAAATGCATGGTTCCTGGAAGGGGTCTGTTAGACCCCCTGGTCCTGCCGAGAGTGCAGGGACAGAGATGGGAGAGCAGTGCCCAACGGGGGCAGGAGGGCGTTACAAGAGCACTGACAGGTAGTAACGCAGTAGTGCACGGGAAGCAGGAGCGAGATTTAAAACCCCAAAGCCTGAGCAAAGGAGAGTCTCACCAGAAAGACGTGGTCGAAGATCTGCGTGGGGCTGTCCATCTGGCCCAGGATGACAATCATTTCGTTATCGATGAATTCCTTAAATTCCCGCAGGTTACACGCCATCTGCATCTCCAGCTCCGTGCGGATCTGGGGTCGGAAGGGCAGTCGTGAGGCAAGAGGGCTCTCCTCTCCCCTTCCGGCTCCCTCAAAAACACCCATTTTGTAAAAATAACATTTTATCAATGGTCCTGAGATCCCCCAAGCAAGTCTAGTTTGTCGGTACCAAGACCTAAATTCAGAGGGAAGAAAACCAGACGTTTGGAAGCTGAAAGAGCAGCTGACATCAGGCAAAGCAAAGGGTTGGTTTAGGCTTAGAAACTTCCTTCCAGGTGTTTCTGATTCCAACTGCCCTGCTTTCCTCTTTGCCTGAATTTGGATTGTCACTGTGCCTCCAGACAGATCACCTAACCCAGGGTTCCTCAACCTTGGCGACTTGAAGACGTGTGGACTTCAACTCCCAGAATTGCTGGCTGGGGAATTCTGGGAGTTGAA